AAAACTAAATTCACCATTATTCCTCCCAGCTGTGCATCCTCTGTCCCGTGTTCTCTAGTTGTTAGTGGTGGTACTACTTCCCAATCATCCAGATTTTAATGTTCATGGTTTATCTCTGATTCGTGCCTTTCCTTTACGTTGATTTCCCAAGTCCCTATTGATTCCAGCTCTTAAGTCTGTTAGCAATCTTTTTTGCCTCCATTTCTTAACCCAGGTTCTCAAATGTTCTTGCTAACTCTATCTAGACCCATGGTTTTCAACATTTTTAGACTGTTATTGCATTACATCCCTTCCTATTCTGATTCAAAATCAATGTAAGATGCATAATTTTAAGTACCACCAAAAAAGGAAAAACCCTGCCAATGAAATATCACAAGGCGTTGATTGTACAATCCAGCCTGATTTCAGAGATCTTAAAATACAGAAAAGTATCAGTACTGGACTCAATGAAATGTGGCTTATTTGGTAAATGAATGAACATGGAGGTAGTTTTCAAAAGTTATTTTCATTCATTTTCAATAGAAACACTGTGAACTAAAAGCAAAGTTCTCAGCCATTAGATTTATAGTGGAATATGTAAATGTGTCTTAAGAGCAATAATGTAAAAACTGTATGTTTAACCTTCAAAATAAAATTTGTGAAATGGTAATGACGGATTCAAAAGATGACATTATTTCTGCACTTAGGAATTCCAATAGAAAAGGGAAAAGAGATAAACTATTATGCAAAATTGCAGTTAATACTTTAATATTTTATAGAATTCAGAAGAAAGATTAAACTAGCTGTGTAATCTGAGCTAAATCTTGAGGGATGAGTAAGATTTTCATCTTTAAAAAAAAGGGACACACCTAGAAGCAGTACCAACACTCAAAGTGGATGAAAAGTCATGAGCAGAGAAAAATAACTACCATTTATTGTGTGCTTCCTACATGCCAGGAACTATTTATACATACAGCAATTTAATAGAGAAGATACTTACTATTATGTTCTCACATTTCAGAGGAAACTGAGGCTGAGATTAAATAGAGATTAAATAACTAGAAATGGAGTTCACAGCATGATTAAATAACAGAATATATTAAAAATGTCAGAACTATTTAGGTCAGAATAGGATACAAAGTCATAAATACCATTTCAAGAGTTGGGTTCCTTATAAAGGCACTGGACAATCCAGCCACTAAAATTTTGAGAGCAGATTTTGCTCTCATACTTGGATAGGGAAAAAAAATTTCGAGAGTAGAGAAATGACATGTTAAAGCATGGCTTAGATATAGGAAACAGGAGGGATTAGTCTAGAAGCTTTATAGTAAAAGCCTAACAGTGGCAAATATAACCAAAGGGAAAGAACATATATGAGACATTTTTCTATTTCTACTTTTCCTCCCTTGACTATTTCTTCCTTAACTGCTGTCACGAAACATGTATAATCAAGTTGCATTTTTTGTACGTCAAATTTTGTTACCAAACACTAGATAAGTTAGAATAGAGCTGAAATTAAAAACCTGGATAATTGCAATAATGGGAATAAAGAAATAAAGAGAAAAATGAGTAGAATGAGATAGATTTCTGCTCTCCCTTTTGTGTGGGGGAAAGAAGAAAACAGTTTACAAATTTACTTTTAGGTAGGCTCCATTTGAAGACACCTAATTAACCATCTCCTGTGAACATGACCAACAGATAAAAATGTAGAACCAATGCTCAGGAAGAAGTTAGAGCTAGAAGTTAGAGCTATGTACCTGAGACACATTCACAAAGATATAAAAGTTGAATCTGTAAGAGTGGATCATTCTTATCACAGGGGGAAGGTGGGAGGGGTTACAGGAAGAAAAAGATCCTTCCTAATCAATAACTAAGTGTATTCCTTCCGGAGCTTGAATTTTCTCATCTAGAGAGAGGTCTGGGAATGATTCTTTTCATTTGAGCCTTACACCACAATTTCATAAAATTTCAAATTCACAAAAATGTTTTACTGTACAATATAGCTGACCCAGGAATGGGAAATGTGAACTGTTTCTGGCCTGTTTCTGTAACTACGTAAAAAGGTTCACAGGACACACTACAGCAAGTTAATAGCTTTAAAGAACTTCATTGAGCTTCTTCAGCTAAATATATTTCCTATTCACCCAGTGGCCAAAGGAGAAAAGGTTATTAAATTTTACAGTGGTATCCTTAAAAAGCAATTGTACATTATTTTAAAAAGCAAAGCTATTATTCTAGATTAATTTCTAAAACAGGGCATAAATGAAACTATACCAGCAACATAAAATATTTAAGTGTTAATAATAAACCTTGTTCTAAAATGAACAAAACACAAATTTAGACTCTAACATTATTTAATGTTTGATATTTATAATTTTTACTAAAGAAAAAGAAAACCATTATTTTTCCTCTATCAAAATAAGCTGTCAACAAATTTAAAAAAAGAGACAAACCCAGAAAAGAGTCTTGTCATCAGTCTTAAGATAGTATAATGTCACAAGCGCATGAATCTTAGACTCTGAAAAACTTGGGTTTAAACACCATCTTTGTCTTGGGCTGGGCACTGTCCTTGGGTGAATTATTGAAAGCTTCTGAAACCTCATTTTACTCATCTGTGAACTGGTAATAATAAAACTACCTCAAATTTACAACAAATTAAGTAATAAATCGCTGTGAGCCAGACATATACAAAATGTCATACTAGATACATCTTAACAGCTTCCCTTCCTTAGATTTGCAATCTATAATGGAAATTTCAAAAGCTTAAAAGTACTAAAAGCTTATTTTATTTTTCTAGAGACAGGGATTTTGCTATGTTGCCCTTGCTGGTGTCAAACTCCTGGGATCAAGCAATCTTCCTGCCTCAGTCTCTGGAGTAGCTGGGGGTACAGGTGTCTGCCACCACATCCAGCTGAAAAGCTTACTTTTAAAAATTATAAACAAGGTGGCAGAAAGAGTAACATGATTTAAATATTAGTTTAAAAATTAGTTAAATCACCTTTAATCCTTTCCAGTTCTTATCCCATATTGGACACATCCTCCTCCCAAAAGATTAAAAGAACATTTAAATAACTAAAGTGATAAGAATGTTAAAATTTCACTTACCCAGTTACTTGAATTTAACCCAAAAGTTTGGTCACTGTGTCTGATTAATTAGTAAATATCAGGATGAAATCTGTATGTAAAATATCTATAGAATATTCTTACAAAACCCCAAATAAAAACAAAACCACCAAAATTCAAGTTAGAATTTTTCATTTACTCATAAAACATATTGCTAGGCAAGCTTAAAGACACCCCCCACTTCCCCACCCTTTATGAAGCTTAGTGCCTCGAGAATGCTGGATAATAAGGAATCTTGTCATCTGATTTTGAAAAACCTTTGCTATTTTAGGCCTTTATAACACATGGCAGGTCTATCTATATTAACTCCCACACTGAGTCCTCTCTCAGCTAGATTTCTAGCCACTTGAGCAACTAGTCACCACTTAAGAATGGTAGAATAAAAACACGACGATCTCTTTTGAAAGCTTTTTAGCAGTACTTAATTTTAAATTTGTGTATGTGCGCTTATGTCCATTGTCAGTTACTAACTTATGTTTATTTACCAATATTACATATGTGAATACTGCACAGCAACTTTTGTGGATACAGGGCTCTGTCTACTGGGTCTGTGGATCACGGAGAATCTTGTTGCTCTCCCCATTTTGTTGTTTTATTATCATTTTCACCAAGCAGCACAGAGGAAAAAAAGATTTCCAAAAATGAAAATGAGGCTGACTTCTGCACATTCACATCAGGAAGGAGATAGAACCTTAGATTTCAGTGCAAGAACACAGCATATAAAACATTTAGAGCAGAAAGTTCCAACTGAATTATCCTTAGGCTTACATTAGCATTTCTTAACACCATAATGTACTTGTATGTGTTTCCTACATGACTGTACTGCTTTGGAACATAAAAATGAAGCACTGTTAGATTTTAAATTAAGAGTGGACATTTCCAAACCTGTAACTGTCTTATTCATATGGCTATGTCAGTTACTTTCCTTTTTAGGAAATATCCAAAACTAGTAGGGTTCTCCCCTACCCCACTACCCCCTGGGAACGGGACCTTCACGGTAGCCAAAGGAAACGGGCAAATAAGAGAGAACTAGTTCAATGATCAGATTTCTTATTTCAAACGTCTGAGAACTAAAGTCGTTCATCTGGTTCCATTGCTGTCACAGCATCTAACATACAGTGCAAGCAGTTGCACAACGTTCCTCTCTTCGGAAGAAGTCCTAGCAGTAAGACGGGGTGCCACCAAATCTACCCCCAGGGGGACTGCTGCCAACATGGGCAGAAAACAACTATGGAAAGGGGGGGGAGTCTTTTGTGAGCAACTCCGCTGCCTCCTAGGGAATATGGGAGCTGCAAAGCTTACAGCTAGAGTCAAGAAAAGAAAAAAGAGAGAAAAAGAGAGAGACCTCTATGGGGAAAGGAAAAGCCGTACAGAATTACGGTTTCGTTTCAGAAAAGAAGCATTTTGCTTTGGGGAGGGGGAAGTAAAAGGGAGAAGCGAAGGTCTGCTTCCTAAGAGATTTTTCTCCTTACCCCTCACTCGCGGCTACACTCCCAGGCCAGGCCTCCAGGCTGGGCACTACCCTTGGGCCGCTCCCAGGCCCGGAGACAGACCCCTCTGCAGTCCCCAGTCCCCGGCGCAGGGAAGGGAGAGGGCCCCCGGCGGCCGCCGCCCTCCTCCCCCGCCCGCCGCGCCAGGCCAGCAGCCGCCCGGCTCCCGCTTCCTATTTTCGGAGCACACACCCTACAAGGAGCGGAGCGAGCAGGCCCGGCAGAGACCTGCCCCCGCGCGGGGCCTCGGGTGACTGACAGGGGCAGGCACTTGGGCGCAGCGAGGAGGGGGAGGAAGGGCAGCCGAGAGCACAGTCCGATGGCCAATGCCCTTACCCGGCGGCCAGATTCCGGGCCGATACGGACCGGCTCCCCACAGACCGGCTCCGCCGCCCCCGCGGCTCTTACCTTCTCTTCATCAGACAACTGCTCCTCCAGATCCGCCATCTTCCTTCTGGCGACAAACCGCGGCGGCGGCGGCAGCGGCCACCTGACTTCCCCCTTTCCGTGCGGTCCTCCGCGCCGCGCGCCCCCGCCAAGGGAGGGGCCGCTGCTCGGGCCGCCGCGCACGCGCCCAGGGAGCCCCGCCTCCCTCTGCCCGGCCCTCGGGGACGGAGCACGGCTGTGCGCCTGCGCGGGCGCCTAGGCGGCCGAGAGGGGGAAGGTGTCTCCTAGAGCTGCCTGCTGCAGGCTTGTCAGCATCGTGAGTGTACCATTCTCTCCCCATCAGTGACCATATGGACCAAGTCTGCGATGAGTACATTCTGAGCCCTTGATTATGTTCCCATCAAGTCCTGAACTCTGCCAGCTAAAATGTGAAAAAGTGTACAAACAGAAGCTTTTTAAACACCGTGTTTTTTTAATATTAAAAACAAATTCGGCTTCCATTAAAATATGCACACACAACCTGGTCCATAATTGAAAGATTGCTCTTGATTTATTCATTTCGTCACCCAACAAACATTTGTTGGTCTTTCAATGGTGTGCCTGGCACTATGTTAGTTTCTGGTGATATACAATGTTATGCAAAAATATCCAGAGAAACCTCTGTTCTCAAGAAGCTCACTTTCTCTACTCATGAAACAAGCATATACTGAGCAGTTGGGGAAAGCATTGTACTATTCCAGAGGGATAAAAAGTTACGTTAGATATGGATTCTACCCTCCTGAATAGGGTTGCTGGGTTAAATACAAGAGACTTAGTAAAATGTGAATTGCAGATAAACAATTTTTAAAAAGTATAAGTATGTGCTATGAAGCATTTGAGACATATGTATACTAAAAAATTATTCATTGTTTTCAAGTTTTACTGGACATCCTTTACTTTTATGTGCTAAATCTGGCAACCCTACTTTTGAAGCTTCAAGTTTACAAGAGAGTAAAGATACAGTCAAAGCTGTATATATGAATCAATTGGGAATCTTGTTAAAGGGAACTTGCTAATTCAATAGATTGGAATGGGTCTGGAGAATCTGTAATTCTATTAATAACAAGTTCTCAGCTGATGCTAGTGCTGCTGGCCTCGAGACCACATTTTGAGTAGAAAGGCCTTAGTATTTATATAGGAGTTAAGACTGTATGAATTGAAAACTCTTGAACTGTGACATAACATGATCAGAAATATGTCCAGAGAGATGAATCTGACAGCTGCATGTAGATGACATGTGACAGTACCTTGACGAGTTCAAATAAATATTCAGATGCAAGACACTATTATTAAGTAATTTGCTGAGTGTTAGTAGTGTGCAAATCATTATTTCTTATGGATGGAAAGCAAACAGCTATGCTATTGAAAAACTGATAATTTATTTGGGGAGAAAACAGGAAGGGAAACACGATGACACATGCAGGGAAAAGTAGGTGTCTTGTTGAGGATAAATGTTGTGGAGAAGATATGAAAGAGAATAAACCACACAATTTGGCCAAGGATATCACTGGATGTGACTCAAGAACATGTTTACTCTTTTACAGTTTACAAGTCATTGCTTCATTCATTTCTCACTGCAACCTCATGAAGTAAGGTGTCTTATTCTATATTTCATGTTATTTTCACTGCAAGGTCTTTCTTTCTCCCTCTTAAGTCAGGGCACTATCCACCAAATAAAACTTAATGAAAACAATTACTGTCACAACCCATCAATTCAACCTGCTGCATCAACAGTACCTCTGGTTTCTGGAGGGTATTTTTTTCTGCAATTTATTTTCCTGTTTACTCAGCAACGCCTATATCAATAATTTGTACACAGTGGATACTCGGTAAATGTTGTTGCTTAAGTGGCTGCTCTCTTCCTGTAGAAACCTCACCCAAATCTGGTAATGTTTTACAATAATTTGAGTCAGAGCATGTTTATAATTGTAACCTTGGTGATACTTTACATGTGGTTTCCCTTAGTGACACAGCCAACAATCATGTGTAATTTCTGATAATGTTTTCAGTAATCTCCCAATACCACCCTCTTGGTACCATTAAAAGTAATTATAGAATTCGCGTAACCTATGCATTTCAGGAAGATTTCAAGCTGTCACATGTGGAATGATCATTATATGGCTGCAAGAGAAATGTACTGGTATTCTTGATAATCAGTTATTTTGTGATGTTGAGAAAATAAACAAAATATTCCTCCCATACCTACTTCTATTAGTGAGTGAGAATTTCTACCCTTTTCCTACTTAATTTCCTTTCTTCTACTTATTAGTGGTGCGATCTTGGCTTTTCCAATTAACTGCACCAGACCTACTTTTTTTTTTTTTAAAGTTCTTTTGTAGTGTTTATTTTTAAATTACTTGTATACTTTTTAATCTATTTTTCTATGGCTATGCTCTAAGTAACCAACTACATTTTAAGCTTGTTAAGATCACAGGTTACCTAATTTCACAGAATCACAATCTTAGGTCCATTTACTGCAAGCCTCATTTTATAGGTAAGTTGAGACTTAGGTAAATTAAATGACTTGATAAAAATTGCACATCTAGCTGATACTTTTTAAAGACCTAAGTGTCTTGATGGTCAGACTCATGTTCTTTCGTGTCTATGTGTATGTGTGTGTGTGTGTGTGTGTGTGTGTGTGTGTGTGTGTTTATATAATACACACATCAAATCTTTAATAAGATGATATTTTATTATTACTGATTGACAACTAAATGGTTATACCAGATGTAGACTTCTATAATACCATTTGATTTCATCTCTGCACAGAAAACAAATATCTGCAGTTTAAAAGTTTGACTTACCTGATTTCTGATAAAGACTATCAGTGTTAGACAACTAATAATTGGTTGGTTGTTACTCTCATGGTCAATTAACACACCTGGTCTCAAATAAGGTCCTTTGTCGCTGTGGAAAAGTATGAAAAATCATGTATATTTTAAAAGTAATTGTCTTTCTACATCAAATAATTGCCTAAACTATTGCTTACTTGTAGTTGAGTGTGTCCTACCTGTGGTCCATTTCCTCAGTTTTCAGAGGTACACCTAAGTGGTGCCCCTGGAGAAGCCCGAAAAAGATGATTCTAGAGCTACCAAGGAATTATTGAAGAGGCTTCTTTTTCAACTCTTCCTGCCTCCTAAATATGCTGTCCTTCCTAATTTGGTTCCTACGAATCTTACCAAACCCTCCTCTGCCACTGCCCCAAATGCACACCTCACTAAAACACAAAAATCTACTTACATATCACACTTTCTCATGCCTCTGTCAAAGCTCTTTCTGGAATGTTCTTTGCCACCTATCCTTTAAAATTCTGCTCAGTTACCTCTTTTCCTTGAAATGCTCATTGAATCCTCTAGCTAAAGCTAATAATTTCCTCTAGATTCCGATAGAAACTTTCCACTGACTTTTGCTGTGTACCCTAGCAATGAGGTATACAGATTTTGTAATCACTAAGTCCTGAGTTCTGATCTTCATTCCAGCTTTGGTCAACCTTAGACAATTTACTCTGGCAGCTTCTCTTTCTTCACCTATACACTGGGGATAATAATGGTACCTCCCTGATAGGGCTGGTGTGAAGATTCACAGAGATAATGCAGGCAAAGTGCTTAGCACCCAGCACAGGCCTTAGTAAAGGTCTCAATAAATACTAGCTATTATCATCCTATTATAATACCAAACTGCTCTTTGAGGACATGGGCTGTGTCTTTAATTAGCTGTCTGGCACATACAATGTCTGGCAAATAAATGCTTAAAAAAGCTTGGCTGGAGTGTATATTGATTAAATGACTCTTTCATTTTACATCCTCAAATGAGAGCAGAAAAATTAAGCTAGCAAACCAGATGGGGTTTAGTGATCATCCTAAAATGTGCATTGGGGAGACCAGAACAGGAAAGCAAACAATTTTCCGAGAAACCTCAAAACCATACAAATACCTCCTACTCTACTACTCCATATTCAGTCGCCACTTATATATCTCTCTAATTGATTTCTTTTTTCTAATTGATTTCTTGCTCTTTAATTTCTATGTCACTGTGGTCCTTCCAGATGTCATTCCCTTTCCTTCTTCCAGGTGACCAGGTGACCACTAACCTGAATCTTGTGTTTATCATTTCCATGCATATTGGTTCTTTTTCAAAACAGGAACATTCCTTTTTATCCACCTAATGTGGCACCTAATTTTAAAAGTACTTATGAAATGAATTAGCATGATTTTTTTGCATAGTCTTGTAAACGACATGGATAGTGAATATTAGACTAATTAGTGGCTTAAAAAAAATCTCCCTATATGGCAATGTAAATTGTGGGACATAAAAGAAAACTTAAGTCAGACTTTTGACCTGGAAAGGTAAAGCAACACAATATACAGATTTGCTGGTAGCGAGTGAAAATACAGATTCAATATCTTTAAGTTTTTACCTTTTATGTCTGATAATACTTTTAACTCTTATTTGGACTCGGTTATAACAGAATAGCAGTGCAGCAGAAAATGAAG